TAACTTAAATTGGAGTTGTATAACTTTTGATCATAAACAACTCTGAGTTAGCCCGAACAGAGGCCTGTGTGTGAACCCTCTAAAATGGTCACTCATTTCAACTTGAATAAGGTAATACATATGTAATGCATCCTCTATAGATGTTTTTGAGTATAGGTGGCATTATACTAAACAAAACTAGATTCACAATTTTACGCCAATTCAGAAGATGGTGGAAGAGAATACTGACATTTGATATTGCTTGCCTCATTGAAATGTTGTTGGCAGCACAGTGTATACCATTTTGCACAAACAAAACCCTTGCAATTGACTCCACCATCAAACTTGCCCAAGACCGAAACATTGATCCTACTTTAAGTATTGGCATAAAATGAGAACGTATCATTGAGACAAAAGGGGAAATAATGTTTGAAATTAAAAGTTCAGTCCTGAATAAGGGAAAAATTTACTTTGGTATGCAAAATGTATGGTACATTCAGACACAGGAGAAGCATCACCCTGATTGACAAACGCAACTGAAGACCAGATTGAAACCCCCTTGCATCAAAGTGCTAGTAACCTCTTCCTGGGGGTGCCTCTCTACTGTATGTAAAATACTTGAGGCAGAAGAAGACGACACTATGATAAAAATACTCATATGAAATATTCAATGCTTTAATTACATTCTGTTATCATTGTTGTATGTTATTTGCTTGCTTGATACTTAGGTTGTAGGTATCTATATATATTATATAAGTGGCTCAGTCAATTCTCTTTGCTTTCTGTGAGTCTGTGTCACCATTCTGGGTACCTTCAGTGAGAGTTTGTGGTCAGATAGCTAAAAGTTTAAATCAGATAGACATCAATTGAGGTGCAGTGAGGCAAGAAAAATGAAACCACAACAACTAGACTTTGTTGATACAAATAAACAGTATATATGCATATTTGAAAAATGCAATTGTGTGTAAGTGCCCACACCCTCTCCCTCTCTGCCAATAAGTGTCCTCTGAACACCAAGAGCAGAGCCAGCAAAACAGCCTCTCATAATAATCATAATGTTCTATAGAGGGTGCTAAATGTTACTACATTCTGTCCTCTCATCTCCAGGACTCATCTCCTCACACACACACACACACACACACACACACACAAACAGACACTCAGAGAGCAGACAGACAGCGCAGAGGCTGCAATGCAATTTACTCGAGTTGACGACAACTCAAGTACAGAGGAAAAAAATAGAGAAGGAATATTTCTACCTGCTTTGTCTGCACTTGTTCTAATAATGAATAAAGCTGTCTGTAGTCTAAGTCTTTATTTCAGTTTTCCTCGAATCTGAGAGGACAGGAAGGACTGACACTGACTGATGTATGTGTGTGATGTCAGGAATATTATGTATTTTACTGACATTTTAGTATTGTTTCCAGTGAGATATATACTGAGTTTATATAGTGACTTTACTGTGTAAACGTTACTGTTGCTGCTCTAGAAACAATATTTAATTCTATTTAATATACAAATCATTTGAACACAGTTCAATTCAGTTCATTTGTCTTGCTAATGTCTAAGTATAATGTGAAAAACTACAACTTGTGTTGGTTTTTAAATTAATATTGTAATAATAAAATTAAACTAAATTTATGTGAAAATATATATATATTTTTTTTTTGTCAAACCTGAGCTCTCCAGACACCTAGGGAAAGCCTGATGGTGTGATGATTTGTTTGACATACTGTGTAATGGTTTTGCATGTAGCCTCATACTGGCCGTTTATGGTGGAAATAATTATATTTAGCATGACGTGTTGCACTGGGATGTGAGTTTCATTCAGATTTGAACATTGGTGTAAGGACTAGTATTATATTTGTAGGCCAATGTCTGTCTAAGGTTTTTTGGTTGGGTCTTATATTTTTCACATACATACATATAGAAAATTGTGAGGGAGTGGCTCCTTCAAATGTGGTCACCCTAGGGCACCATACTGGGTTAATCTGGGTCAGATTGCACTCACTGATACTTTGTATATAAACAATCCCACATCCCATCAAATTATTCAGCTCGCTACTTCGCTGTCAGTACACATGCCCTCTTATTAATCCATTCCATTAAAAAAACAGCATAAAGATTTGAATATGAGTGCCATAGTTGAACCAGTCTTGTTTCTGTGCTACACTGTCTGCCAACAATTAGCAATACGGAATATGAGTCTGACCCTACGAGCCACATCTCTTTCAAAATGTCGTAATGGATACATCCATTGTCTCGTTTGTATCAAGTTGGAGTTGTGGCCCTCTTGACATCACCTCAGCAACTAATGGATGATTCTACCCCCTGCATGTAAAATGTTTCTGTCCTCTGTGGTGCTACTGTAACTACCACAGAGAAAGAATGAATTCTGCTGATGTACAGGTGACGGTACCTGCTGGAGCCATTTTTGCTATTTTTGTTGTTTCTTTTGTTAGTATGATTATAGTCATAATGATAAGTTAAGAAAGGCTTCCTATGATATTAGAATGAATTATCCTGATCTAGTCAATCTGTGTCACAGGGTGCTTGGGCAATAATGGGCACAGATTCACGTTAGTTGCTATGTAGCCCCACCTCCTCTCACCTTACGTATACCAGGTGATCACACAGGTGTTTTGGGGATTCAGCTGTCGGGAGTAGGAAGGGGACACAGTTTTTTGACCGTGGAAAAGAGAAATGTAAAGTATCTAAAAGCAAATAAAGGTTTAAGGAAAGAAAGTAACCCGCGCCTCATAAACATCACTGACTGCTCCTGTCATAGCGGCTCCACGCAAATCATGAACTGCATCGGAGACCGCAACACAGGGTATCGATACATGGAGGCAAGTCTTGGGCAAGTGAAGATATTACCCTGTTCGTCACACTAAATGAAAAATTTGACGATCACCAAAGTCATCAGTTATCCTGTTGGGACCTGAAGCAACTTTAATGGCAATCCATCTAATTTTTCTCCAGAAAGTGGTCAAACTTACTGCCAGTGCCACCACTTAACAAAAGTGGTGGAATTAGAACTCACAATCTTACTTAAAGGTCCAGTGCATAACATTTAGGAGGATCTATTGGCAGAAATGTTATATAATAATCATAGGTATGATTTCATTAGTGTATAATCACCTGAAAATAAAGTTATACAGAGGGTTGGACCTCTTTTACAGAGTGTGCAATATTGAACCACCATGTTTCTACAGTAGCTCAGACAAAGCAAACTGGCTTTCACATTCTTCACAAGTTCCGTGGCCACAGTAGTTTCTCCAACATGCTTGGAAAGTTAGCGGTATTCAGTTTGTTGCAATCAGCAACTGCACCACTAGATGTCACTCCAATGTGGAAAAGTCCTCTTAACCTTAAAGTTAACTAGTCTTAACCTACATCTTTTATTTGTTGATTATATTTTGTATTATCAATCTGAGTCTGCAAACTGACTATAGCAACTGAGGTTATTAAATTATGGTAGTCCCTTTAAAGGGACACTTCTACTTCACTATCATTAGAACCCCAGTCATATTTTTACTATTTCTTGAACCCAGCGGATGGTCGTGGCATCATTTTCCCTCACTTCCCGGGGGATGGAGGGAGAATATACGGATTTCAAGTGTGCACTTCGCTGCCTTACCAAGGAATGTAAATCGTCTTTTGTTGAGTCATTGAAAGCAGGGATAGTCTGGCATGTATCTGTAGGGGAGGGCGGTGAGTAGACTACCAAACATGCAACTTTCCTATTTTTGTTTCTACTTCGCTACAGACCTATTTACAGATCAAGTGGTGGACTTATCACTTGCAGAACGAGAAAGAATATAACCTGCCATCTGGTTTGGAACGCTAAGGGAGGCCTGCTGTCGATCCAGACTTAGACTATGTAATTCAATCTAATATGGGAAGAAATTTTTGAAAATATGACGTCGAATCAGATGTTCGTGGCTAGCCTTTTATGAGCCGCAAATATAGGCAAGAGGCAGCTTGAGGCGTCTGCACCAGAGGCAGGAGGACGCTGCCTGTCTGGCGGGACGAGCGAGCCCGGGACCGGGCTCGAGTGGGCGAGACTTCTGGGTGCCTTGCTCTCACTCGTGCGTCTACGGACACACGGACGTCTGACTGGTAAAGCTGAGTGTTTCTATTTTCTTTCTGTATAACGAAGCGTCGGCATGTATGTACAGCAATTTGTTCGAGCAGTATCACGGAAGTTATTCCCGCGTGTAAACGGTAACGTCAGCCAACTGGAATAACGTTTTAGCTCTTTATCTGCCACAAACAGCCTGCATCTGCCCATTGCTAACTACTGTGCGCCGCACGCTAAAGCACAAAGACCATGCCATCGCTTAAACTGGTGTGCTCAACTGTCTTGCTAGACAATATCACCTAACAGCCTTTCTGGAGCATGGGTCCTACAAGGGCGAGAGATCTGGGTCGAGCGCTATCG